GAAAAGATGTTGAGATATTGGTTCTCCCTGAAACATCGAATACATTAAAAAAAACCAAATATTATTTATTTAAAATATTTTTTTGTCTGTTATATCTTCAATAATTATTCATTATTTATTCACTTTGTGAAATGTTCTTTATTTGCATTATAGAATAATTGCAAAAATTGAAAAGATTTCTATGAAAATGGAGAGTTATCTTAAGGCATAATTAAAATATGTCGAATATATATAAAGAATGAATTTGTATTAATTATACTAATTTTGTTTTCTATTTTTTTTTCTTTTTAATTATTTACTCGAATAAAATATCAAACACAAATTCTAAAAAAATTTATTTAATATTATCTTACCATATACAATAAACTTATATCTAAACCATATACAGTATTATTTTTACATTACTTACTGAGACCATTGGCAATAATCCTCGATTCATGAATTTTGAAAAATCCTTAATCAAGACAGTTTTTATGAGATCTGGATCTTTAATTATTAAAGCAGGTGTTCTTGTTGTAAATATTCCAATTATAGATTCGTTCTTATATTCGTTGTATATCCTTGTGAGAAATTGTGACATCGATTCTTTTCCTAACAATACGTTCTTTGTATTGCCAAATCCTAGCACAGGTTCTGGTCCAGGTATTCCACGATTTTTCCAAAAATTATTATTAACCGTTAAATAATAGTAGAGAGTAATAAGCGCTATTACTATTCCACAAAAAATTTCTAAACTAATATACATTTTTTAGATTTTATGTATTATGCGATGCAAAGAATTTATATTTTTTGAATTAGCAATATGATTTAATTAAATATTATTTATATAATATTTTTTAAATAATTTTGTTATCAAAACTATTGATATTTTAATGAAAGTGTTATTAAAATGTAATAAAATTTTTTGATTTTATAAAAAATAAAATGAAGAATATTCGAATATTTTTTTTGTAATTTTTTTATCATTAAATTAATTAATATATTTAAATCATTACTAAATTAATTTATAAGAATTTATTATTTATTGTATTAATTATTTTATGAATTATTTGAGAATTACACTAAAACTGATTGTTTCTATATTTGTTTAAACAAGAACTGTTTGACTTTGTTTAACTGATACTAACTTTGTTTAACTGATACTATTAACCTTAGAACGTTACTTAAATACTAAACATAATCAATTTATTATCATTAAAATTTTCTTTTTAAAGTAAGTACATTGTTTTTAAATTGTAAGTATTGACAAGTATTTGACAAAATAGATTTGAATATTGATATTTTTAGTTAAATGGAATGTATTATAATAAAAATATATAAACTTTATGATTATGATTAATACTATCTTTATGAATTAAAATCAATGAATTGTGTTGCTAATAATTCGATAATTTTTGAATTATGTTATGAAGAATTTGAAGAACATGTATTTACGTATACATCCAATATTATTATTGCTTATAATTTTCGACTTTATTTATTTAAAAATTTTTATTTCGTGATTTATTGCGTTATAATTTAAATAAATTGTATTTATTTTTGGCTATTTTTATGTATGAAGAGATCTATTATTAAAAATGCTTCTCAGTATAGTTAAATACATATGTAAAATATATATGTAGAACATGTATTCGAATTAATGCATTATTAAACTTTATTATATTATTTATATCTCATATACAATAGTCTCTGATGCTAATAATAAAATATGATAATTATTCATTTATAATATTTGTACAAATGAAATATGCAATGTATGTGAATATTTAGTAGTACTATTCAAACATGATGGATTATTTTATCTTTTTCACTAAGCCATTATCCAATCATTAGACTTCAAGATTTTAGGATAAGATAAATTGTTATTTCTACATTAATTGTAGTAAATTGCAGAATATTTACAAAGCGATTTTTAATCATTTTTAAAATAAATTTAAATATTATATTTATGAATATTTCAAAACTAAATGTAAATATGTCAGATCAGTTATATCTGAAAGTAGATCACTTCGAATAGACTTATTATTATTTGATATTTAATATTCGATAACGATATTAAAATCATTGATTCAACGATTAGCTACATAAATATGTAGAAATCGTTAATAATTTTGATATTTTTTTAAAAAATGAAAAACATTTTTATTTTTAGAAACAGAACGAATTAGTTTGCATGTAATATTGTATATTAATAAACAATAATAATATTGACTATATTAGGACATACTATATTATGACACACTATATTATGACACAATTTAAATTATTATTATTAATATATGATATTTTATTTTTTACAATCTATTATCATATTCAACATATAATCAATATATAAATTAAATAATCTGAGTAAATATTTCGTAAATCCATACATATTTGATTATACAAAATTATAAAATAAATTTAAAAAAAAGAATAACAATAACTTTACAGTTAATTAAATAATTATATCGAAAGAGATGCAAATGAAATTAAAATGTTTTATTACAAATATAATTTTAAATTTCAAGTTACAAGTAATTTCATTTGATAATATTTAAATCCAAGTTTTGTAAATAATTCATTTATATTTTTAAAAAAAAAAGATATTAAAAAAAAAGATAGAAGAATTGAAAACAATATTCTACTGTCTTTATTTTCAATAAAATCTTTAATACAAATTATCAAATATATACATGCATATATATGTTAAAACACATTATTATATATCAGTATATACTATAGATAAAAATTGTATAGTTTTACATAGATAAAAATATAATTTTTATATTTTTTACATTGAAGATTAAAATGCATTGCAATTTCGGAAAAGAAATGAAATCCTTTGATATCCTGTATCTGCAGTCATACAATAAAAATAAGTATGGAAAAAGAGAAAAAAAATGAAGAAAGACAGAAATGTTATAAAAATTGAGAAATTTTCATCTCTAACAAGACAAAATCAAATAAACAAGGGAAAAAATAGTATTAAAATAAAAATTGATCGTTAGCGCCATCTTTCGTTGTCACTAAAATGACAAACATTTCTAATGATATTCTAATGATACTTCTAATGAAATAATTTTCAATCTTTTTCCTGTTTTATCATATTATTGAGAAAATATAAGAAGACCTTACTAAGTAGATATTAATTCTTCGATTTTTATTTGATTCTTGAAATCTATTTGTATAAATCAAGTATGTATTTTTTAATTGTAAATACAAAAAATAGAATGTCATTTAAAGTAATAAAATATTTTTAATATCATTATAGTAAATGTTTTTATGAAGTTCTGATGAATAAAGTTTAAAAAAAAATAATTTCAAAAATGAAAATAGATAATACTTTAAATAAATAACAAAAATAATTGTAATATTACATATGTCATATGTTGTACATATATTTTATTTATATTGTTGAATATACTATTTTTACTACTATAGATACTACTAGATTACTATAAATTTTTATTGTTAATGCTAAATAATGATAAAGTTTAAATTAATAGAAAGAATTATTAATTCGTCAATCTAGTTATCTTCAAATATAAATCCGTAAAAGGAATTAAAAGTAATCCACGTGGATCAAGTTTATAAGGAATTAATGTTTTATCGCAAACATCAAGTTTGAAATTACGAAGAATATATATCAATCCAATTTTTGTTTGATATTCGGCAAATCGTGCACCTGGAACAAAATTTTAATTAATACCGTATTATTATCATTATTTTATATTATTTATATATATATATA